TAACGACAGGTTAAAAATTGCCAGATAAAATTCCACGCATCGATCTTCCATTTCTGTGCGCGTAGCTTCGTCGTTTCCCTGACACAATCGACGCGACTCCTCGGCCAATCAATCCGCTATTCTCCGTGTATTTCTCCGAAGCTGTGTGTACTCGTAGTGGTACTTTGATTAGCGTCTACGGTAGGAGAGAAGAAAAAGAACCAGGCTATAGTCGGCTGCTGTCGATGACACCCACGTTCACCCACTTAACTATATCTATCTTGGCCGTCTACACGAGTGGAGCTGTGTCTTTGTGTCGTCGCAATCATAAGGAGAGACGAGCACCATTACACCGACATAGAGGACGCGAGCAGAACAGAGAGGTAGGAGGAGAAGGGAAGGAGGAGAAGGAGGAGGAGAAGGAAAAGAAGTCGTAGATTAATCGGGGACGCCTAACAATCGCGTGGTATTCTTCGTTCACGTGCTGTTCCCTGGCTCGACTGCCTTTTCCGCACGAGAGGACGAGGCCTCTGAATTCGACGAGGTACCTGGGCGATGCAGCGGAAAGAAGAGTGGAAAAATAGAGAATAGAGAGTAATAGACAAAAAGGGATGGAAAAAAGGAAGAGGAGATGGAGGAAGGAGAAGGAAGAGATATAATGGGACTCCTGGCCGTGGATCGAAACATGGCGCCGCACATACTACGTGTGTTCTCGCTGACGCTCTCGCAAAAAGCTAAACGTCAGGGCTTAGCTATATAGCGCAACGTGCCACGGTGATGTATGACGCGTGTATGGAACCGGGATACGGGACCGATGGAGCGAGATTACCAGCGACAGATAAGATCCTGATGATGCTAGGTCGCGCCAACCGCTCTTATCCAGCTTCTGATAGACAAGCCTGGTAATACATGTGTTTGTTTTGTCGGGATGATCGCGATATGTTTACGCGGACTGGTATAAATTGCGGGGAAACAGGGGATTGAAAAGAGGGTTGAAACTTGCCTGAAAATCGCCGCTGATGAATGTGTCGGCACATCAATTTTATGCTACGCCCTTTCATTCTGCGATACAGATACTTTCGTTTAGATGCCTCGATACGCGATAAGAGGATGACGAGAGGCCAAAGATCGTAAAAGCTCGAGGGAATCGCCAACCAGAAGCGGCAAACTGAATTTGTCGGCTGGTTAACAGCCGTTACGTGCGAGTGACCAGCTTCGAAACCATAGGAATATAATTGAGATAGGCTGCAGAACGACGACGGTAAGGACAGACGAGGCTGGAATTCTTGGAATTTCAAAATCTCGATCAGCTTAGGCATTTTTCAATTTCAACGATGTAACTCGATGTCGTGCGATCACTATCGGATTATCGGCAGATCTCCACTACGGAACTTGGACAACGAGATTAATAAGAGGGGACCAAATTCTACCTAGCTGTAAGGTGGAATTTCTAGGCTGACCTTTAGACGAAAATTGGATTTACCGGCTGCCTTGTTTCTCGGTTACGTTGGATTTCTTTACGATATCGTCGCTGAGACAGAGAAGAAACCGAGGTGAGAGATACTTTTGACGAGTAAAAATGGAAACGTACGACGGAGAATACAATAATGCGCGGCAGGAGAATCGGTCGTACGTGGGATGACGCAACACGTTGTGGTCAGAAAACGAGGGCTAAAGGAACATTTATCAGCGCCACGGTACACGCGGGTCTTGAATAAATTGACTTTTTGCGGAATCGATGGAAAGAAATTACCGACCAGATAAAATCCTGATGATGTCAGGTCGCGCCAAGCACGGTTTACTTACTCAGCTCTCGCCACAGGAAAGGCAAGATGGCTGTGTTTGATCTAGCGAGATTGCCTGTACTTCCGCTCGATCAATCGGCCAAAGAATCGATGACAAACGAGCTGCCTGGTAAATAAAGGAAATTTATTTCAACCGTGAGAATTAAATTTAATGAGCAGCTCGGTGTAATTGCGGGCTAGGACGCTGTGAGATTACCAAGACTAATTAAGGAGCTAGAAGACTTTAGACTACGAAATAATAGAGGGATGGGAAACGGGTGGCTAGATGGTGTTAAGAGGGATTTCCAAATGCTAATTCGCTAGCGTAATACAGTTTCGTTAAATCCGGAATCATGCGAATTCGACGAAAAGATACCACGATGGTTGAAAATCAAAAATGTAAAGATCCAAAGACTTCGATCTTTTCATCGAAACTAAAATAAATTTTAATATCGGCATCTATGTTTGAGATTTACGAAGCTTTTACGAATTTATGTTTGAGATTACGATTTATTCTATATCTGGTCCGACAAATTATCTCTAGCAAAGATAATAATAAAAATAGATGGCGTCAAAGATCCATTGAAAATTTGATCTGCCTCTGATCTCGTTCGCGATACCAGCATGAAAATTTTATCTCGTTCCGCCTGCTGGCAGCGTTTTATTTATTTAATGACCCAACCATAGGATGTAATTAAATAGCTCGCTTTTACTGCACAAAACGACCGGGCTTTCGGGCAAATATTAATCAACCGTAGCGGGAGGGGATATTCCGTTTCGTTAACGACTAATGCACAATTGAAAAGCGACCTCCGTCGAATATAATATTACAAAATACACAGTTCCTACGTTTTATTTATAACCGAGCACCTACGTGTGTCGGGTAAGGTTTGCACGGTCCGGAAAGTTTGATTTTTGGCAACGACAAGCCGCACCATCACGTACAACACTTATTTCCTTCCCTTTTCACTACCTCCTGGCACTTTTCCCTGCCAACGTCCAACTTTGTTCCACCACATATGCGCAGTTTTCCTATTCCACCAATACGTAGACACGTTGCATCTGTCTCGTAACACCCGAGGGATGTACGGTCGGATCCTAGGAACACAGGACTCTGTGGACGGTGCTTCGTTCCGATAAAAAAAATCTCCATCGTTCGTTTACCTTGCAACCCTTAGCCCTGGCAACATTTTCGCAATACGTGGCATAACGTGCTAAATTTTTTTTTTTCATCAAACTCGTACCTACGTACGACGTAGAAGACGATCGACGTATTCGAATTCGATTATATTCGAACGATAATAATCGAGCGTCTTCGGCGTTTCACTCGCGTTCGATCGGATCGATCGTTGCCACCGATCGCGCTGTTCCAAAGGAACGCGGTTTTTCTAATATCGTACGACGTTGCTTACGATCGGCGAAATTTAACGAGTGACATCGTTTGTACGAAACTCAGTCGCGTAACCAAACGCATTAATCATTCTCTGTATTTTTCCTAGATGCTTCGCCTTAAGCCACTACAAAGTCCGAGTAGCAGCGTAATACATCTTGAAAATCCTCCATCTTCCGCGCAGCAATTTCCGCCTTATTTATTACCAGTAATTTTTAATATCACGTTATTGCTGTGCACGAGCTACGGTTGCAGGCGAGCCTCGTTACGAAATCTCTCACGTGGAAACTAACTTTCCTACATCTCCTCCCCTTCTCCTTCCCTTACCTCTCACCCCCCCCTCTCTCTCTCACTCTCATTGGTATCACTTATTCCCCGAAATCTTCACTTTTTCTGGCACTCTTCCCTGGCCGAATCGAAACCGGCTATTCAATGAACAGAAGGCTATAACGAGTCATAGGGTCTATAGACGTCGGACAAAATGACGCAACGGAATATGGATAGACATTGTCGAATATTTGAATTGAATGGCGGCAACCATCGATCGGTATCGGTTTCGGCCTGAATGGAGGCAACTGTCGGTAGATTTT